TTGCATGAGTTCCATTATTTTTTAAACCACATGTTTAAAAATACACCATTTATATTTATACATCGAATTGAAACTGAATGACGATAAAGATCCAGGACATTTTCTGTTGTACTATTTCCATAATTTAATAACAAAATAAAGCAACGGGTAGAACAAACAACTAAATTGGATATAGAAAGCAAAAAAAAAAAAAAAAAAAGTATGGGTGTAAATAAGAAAGAGACGAAAATATAAAGTCCATTTGTGGCCACAAGTATGTGTTTGCAGTCATAATTTGAAGTCTTGAGGCCAGCATAAGTTTTAATGGTATTCGCTAGGGTGCAATTAATGTATCTTCAGGTGGTCCTCATGTTAGTCAGCGTTGCCCTTTTGTATTTATGAACGATATCTCTTCTGTAATAGAGTACCCAAAACTTGTATTATGTACCGACGACGTAAAGTTTTTTAAATCATATACTTCAATTGATGAAAGATGTCTGTTGCAAACAGACAAAACAATATGGTTGTTTGGTGTGACAGAAATGCAGAAATGATTTGCCATTGAATCTCAAAAAAAATAAGAGGATGTGGTAGAACTGTATAGCCCCCTCTTTATGTAAAACTATATACTAGAGAAAGCTTTTAACTTTGTGATTTGAGAGTTATTGTGGAACTTAAATATAATTTAATTCTTCATATTGATACCATGATTTGAAAAACAAATCAGTATTGTTAAACGCTGGTGTGAAAAATTAGGAAATCTGCATGTTGCAAAAAACTATATCTACAGCCTGGTTGGAATAAGTTGCAGTTCTTTTCTCTTGCCTGAAGTTTTAATTAAAATTTCGGATTTCGGATTGGGTCTGATAAAGCGGACTCGAAGTTTTATATACACTTCCGCAATCCCATTATTGATATCTGATCTGATTTTTATTATATTTTATATTTGCCTATGCTACGCACCTACCATATGTACTAGCTCAAGGTGACATTTGAGGTTACGTATAAACAAAGTACGCTTATTTTGCTTAAATATTTTGTAGCAACATCCAGTGATTAAACAACTTTAAGTTACATTACATGTGTGTATTTGAGGTGTTCATATATATATACATATAGTCGTATGTATACATAATTTATTGTTTATAAGACTAGACAATCCATTATCCTGACATGGCTAAGTTATTATCGGATATGTCTAGTAAGGACTTGGTCGGATTTTGGAAAATGAAACGGCGTTTTATCATCTGGTCTTATATCTATAGCGTAGCATCCAGCTCTCAAGAAATGTAAAAACTTCCAACTTACCAATCATCAACAACATTTCTTAAATCGCGATGAAAATATTTATATTATGACACACATATATACATACATATTACACACAAATTTTCTTTATTTATTCTCTCTTTCTCTTCTAATGTGGATCATTCACAATGCGTAATCAGCTGTAAAAATTACTTGAAGATATAATGTATTTTTTTTTTTTTCTTGAGCAATTACTTAAGAACTGGATWCTACTCTTAACAGTTTCTAAAATACATATCTACTATATAAATTAATTAGAATGCAAGTTTTTACTTATGGCGATGTTGCAAAACAAACAAATGTAGACCCAAAAACATTTCATAGCTAAAATAAACTTGCTCAAAAAAATACACTTTTAATAAGACAATTATTTTAGAAAAACAAATTATGATAAAACATTTTTTTTGTATATTTAACATTACTCAGTTAGTAGCCAGTATATAGTAGCAGTAGTAGTGACATCGTGATCGTGACATTTTCAAGAATTTTCTTGTACTCCGTCGCTGTCATTTTGTTAGTTGTCCGGTATATAGGACCTACTCCATACCAAGAAAAACATCCCCACACCATGACGATTCCACCTCCATGCTTCACAGTTTTTTTTTTTTTTGTGAATCGAACGTGAAATTCCTTTCCTTTTGGACGACGCACATTTGTCTCACAGTCGTTTCCAAAAAAATTTACTTCCGTTTTATCGCTCCATAAGATGTTTCTCCACTTTTTTGTTCCCTCAGGTCCTGACCAATCTAATTGACTTCTTGCAAAATTTAACCTCATATCTACATTTTTTGATCGCATTAATGGAACTTTCGGCTATACGTCCTGGTACCTTGGCCTTTTGCAAACGCCTGTGAAATGTTTGGGCACTTACTATATTTCCAATTTCTGCTGCTATCACCTTCCAGGATTTGAATGGGTCCTTTTTTTCAAATAGTAACAATGTGGCGATCAAGAACTGTACTCGTTTTTTGTGGAATTCCACGAGTTTCCCTACTAGATTTTCGCTCTAAAGCATTTTTAACAAAATTATGAGAACTTTCCATTAATTTCCCAATTTCCCGAAGCTTTTACTTGCTCTCTGAGGTTTGAAACCAGCCGCGCTTCTTCAACAGTGCAATGTGACTTCCGACCCATCTGATTAAAAAATAATTTAACTTATCTGCAGCATTTTGAGTTTTATTGAAAGAAAACTTACAAATTCAGATAAAAAAAAAACTTGAAAAACTGGATAAAATTAATTTTGTTTTCCAAAAAGCCAAGTTCACTTATGTGTAACTATAACATAGAGCAATTTTTTTTCTGAGAATTCACGCAAAACTGACACACGCATTAATTCGGGGAATGACGTGCTTTATTCTCTTAGAATGGGCGATGCCATATTATCTTAATTAAACTTACAGCATAACTTGTAGCATACAGCCCATACAAGTTTTTTAAACTGTTGAGAGTACTAAGTTTTATCGTGTAACTATTATTTTGAGCAGGTGTGTATATATATAAAAATTAATCCATTTTTCCCTTGGTCACGGCGTCACGCGTGAATGGCTGGACCGATTTAACTAATTCTTTTTTGTTGTATTTGTTACTATTAGGAGAAGGTTCTGATGTAAGAAAGAATTGTGAAAGTTGTGAAAAATAAATCGCAAAATGTGTTGCTAAGCGCATAACTCAACAACGCCTGAACCAATTTGGCCAATTCTTTTTTTTTTTTAAATGTTCTTTGAAGTTCAGAGATGAAGGGCTGTCCCATATAAACGAATAAATGATTGTTTGTTAGAAATGCTAAGACTCGAGAACGGCTGAACCAATCTTGATGAAATTATCAAAGGTTGTTCGTTATGGATCGGGGAAGGTTTAGAAATAAAAAAAAACCGTATCCTTTTTTTCTTTTCAAAAGAAAAATTATTCAATGAAAACGTTATGTATGTTTCACACAAAGTGATCAATTAAATATTGAAATTTGTTACGCTACCCTGGAATCAAAAGATGGACGATGTGATAGCTAACTCGCATGCCACTGAAGTTCGCACACTTTTCGCGATGATCATTTCGACATATCAGCCTTTAAATTCGCGTCAATTATGGGATACGAAGAAAACTGACATTGCGGAAGACAATTTACATCGTATTCGATAAGTATTAGAAATGGGTAAATTGCGGTCGATACTTTCTGTGGTTTGATATCAATTCTACCTGCCTTTGTCAATTTACTTTAACGAAAGATGAACTCATCACGAATGTTTATCCGAACATGGGCCAAATTATCGTAACTACGAATTGTGCTTGAGTGCAATTTTAGCTGCCAAAAACACCGATGGTTTTGACTTAAACGGGAAGATTCAAAGTCAAATTCCCGGAGACTTGCTCCCATACAAATTGATCGATCGTCGTGACAATGAAGATTCCCTGAATTATCCAGTGGAATTTCTAAATTCACCGAATTTTTAATGACACCGCATCATTTGTTTCGCAATCTTCATTTGGCGAAACTGTGTAATGGAACCCTAAACTTAGGTGGCAGAATGCTAGATTCTACGAATTCCTTTTAGTTGTAACGATTTGCCATTTCAGTTCAAACATATTCCGTTTCCAGTGAAAATTGCAATTGAGATGACAATTAACAACACAAAAGGATAGTCGCTAGAAGTGTATGCGATAAATCCGGAAATGCCATGTTTTTCACACGCCAGCTACGTGGCGTGTTCACAAGTTGGAAAACCTTCTTCTGTGTACATTTACGCAGCGGAATAAAAACCCAAAAATGTTGCGCTACATTAAAAAAGAAGAAAAATCGCAAATACATGATTTTCAACACAATATAAATTCAACTTTCTTTTCATTTCAAAATACATAATTTTACGCAGGACAATAGCTGCGGGGTCAGCTAGTATACATACTATATATACGCTTTAACATAATAGCGTAATTATGTGCCAAGAAATATTATGTATGGACATGTTTAAAGAACAATTTTTACGCATATTTACCGCAGACGATACGACGTAGTTATAGAACAAAGCTAGCTACTACCATATATTTTGCTCCGATTGATAACAAACGGATAGCAATAGGTAGGTTGCCTTTTATATTTCGGGATTTAGCAATCATACATAGTATTGCAATCTGGCAACTCACAAGTGGATCGTAAAGTTTGATATTTTTGATGTTATACACCCTCAGAGCGTTTTGACATTCGACCGCTATTTGTGTTGAAATATTAATATCAGCCCAAAAATGGAATTAAGTCACTTTCATTTTCATGCACAAGAACCAGGGTTCATCAATGGTAGGGTGAATTCAATAGAGGTCGCAGTCCACTTCAAGACGAATTTTGTGAAGTTCGTCCCAAATCAGTTGCTGTTCCGGAAACTATTGATGTAAGCTATCGTGGGATGGAGGCAACTATAGGCATTGGTGGGACTAGCCTAGATTCAATGTTGCACCGACATTTGACTATAAAAATATTTGTTCACGTTGGAGCCCACACAATTTGGCGATCGTTCAAAAAAACGCTCGTGTCGATTGCTCGAGATAAGTGTTAAAAAAACATGTGAATCGTATGAGCCCGAAAGTAAAAGGCAGTCGACTGTATGGGTGTTTCAAGATGAGCCGAACACAACTAAAGTTTTTCACGCACGAAGCACTTCCAAGCAAATGGTTGCTTGTTTTCTAGAATAACTGGACATATCACTACAATACTACGTAGTAAAAGATAATACTTCAAAATGTATGTTTTGAAAGTACTTCAATCTGAGTGGCAAAAGTGCTTCGAAAACTGATGCCAACGAATGCAAGAGTATATAGATTTTTATAAAGAATATTCTGAAAAACATTAAAACGGTTTTCTATGATTAATATTTGTGTTGTTTCCTAATCCCGAAATTTAAAAGGCAATACACGCAATAACATAGGTATTATTTAACTGCTGCAAGCATTCAAAAGTTTGCGGCGAACTCATATTTCTATTGGTCCTAATGTAAGAGGATTTTTATTGCTCCCTTAAGAGGAAAGGAATAAGAAAGTTTTTACATTTCGAAGGTTACTATGGTTCTCATTGCTAGTTTTCACGGCTTAAAAAAAAATCTCTTGTTTAATTCTATAATGTCTCTAGAATATTTTCCTAATTATTGATTTAATAGTTTTCTCCTCTGTGCTCGAGATCAACTGTATAGTCACTTACAACTTTAAGCGCGTTTTTCTCGAAACTGTGTTTTCAAAGTCGCTTCTTGGCGATCTACTCAATCTGAATGAAATTTTACATAGATCTTGGAGACATATGTATATTAGAAGGCCTTGAATGAAGGATTTTTTTGTTGTTCAATTACAAGTATTTAAAATAAGTCGAAAAAAATTTTACCAGAATTTAGATTTTTTTTTAAACCACTGCCAATGTTACAATTTTCCCCTTTTTTTGTGTTTCTTTCGTCCAATACCTAGTTTATGGTCTTTGTTAAAACACCTAATTTTTTTTCTTTTTTACTTTTGATGGTCCTGTAAGAAGTTCTGCTGTCAACGTGGTTGAACCTTTTTCCGAAGAACTCCCGGGCGTGTTTTGAATATTTTCCTTTGAAATGTTCACACAATGTATCTTTGGAAAAGTAAAATGTTCGAAAAAATCATTGAAACTAGGCCGTTTTTTGCTCGAGGAAAACTATGTAACCTCTTAACACTATATTTCCTGAGTAGTGCAATTTCTTCACTGTTATTTAGAATCGTTCTAATAGGAGAGTATTTATCAAAAGCGTACACAATTCTCTTGATGCATACCTTGCAACAGATTTCAATGTCTCAATCTGAGCACTACTATGTCTATTTTTTTTCGCTGCCATATTTGGCACTATTTATTAGTTCCTGGCGTTTATAAAGATACGCGTTATTTGTTGCTGGTAAGGACACTGTTGCATCTTGAATAGGCGATCGTTCCAATTGCGATTGTAGCTGCTTCTGTTGATGTTGTTTATTAGTGGACATATTCCCAAAATCAGCAGTTTTCGACCGCTGTATCGCGCCGCCAATATTGGAAATGCTCGCTGGTGATTTATGTACATGGTTTTCTGTGTTCCTCCTAAGTAATGAATCATACATATACGGGTTCGAAAGAGATTCCGGTTCGACAGAGGCGCATTGATTCGGAACTGATAGTAATGCTTGTGTTGTAGACTGCGGTCGTAAATAGCTTGGTCGATTATTATGAATTTGATGCTGTTTTCGTTCTTGCACTATCTGAACTGGTCGATAATCATTTGCGGATCTTTCAATTTTGGTTGAAATGGACAATGATCCGGCAATTGGAATATCTTGAAAATTTACAAAAAGAGAAAACAGAATAGTCGAATATTAATAAGGGATCACCTATCTACACATGTAATGTAAGTAAGGTTCTATCAGCTATAGAATAAAAAAAAAAAAATTAAATAAATGAAATTCTTTTTAATGAGATTGAGTCATAAGTAAAAAAAATGTTTTATCCGTTTTTCTTATAGCCTCAAAAATATTTGCTTATCAAAATCAAGGTTATTGAAAACAGTGTATCTTACTAAAAGACATTACTCACGATAATACTTATATTCCGAACGTTCGTAAAAATCTAACATTATAAAAGCCTTGTATGATACCTAATAATTCTACGAATTCCATAAAGTTTTTCCTTAAACATTTAAATTCGTACTATTCGCAATTTCTGTTTCGACCTTCTACTGACTTAGAAGGAGAAGGATATCTTTGACATTAAAGAACGGCTTGGAGACATACTTTCAAATAAATAGTACAAATATGATAAATAATTTAACATCTTATAAATTTACATGCACCTACTTACATTGATGAACGTGTTTCATTTCTTGGTTTTTTGTTGCTTTTTCAAAATAGGAAATATCTGAATAATTCTCCATTGAATGTGAGGACAAAGAACTCGATACCCCCGTAGTAATGTCATCCAAATCATAGGCTATTTTTTCGTTCGGTATTGATTTTGTTTTTTTTTGCGGTGTGGTGGCTGTTAATTTTAAATGACCTGCCTGGATACCGGGTACTTGAATTTGTAAGGTTGCTGATAAAATAGCTGCATTATCTAATATATTTGGTGAAGATTGTCGTCGCTCCACCATGTCAGAGTTTGTAATAATACCCTTACGACCCTTATGCCGTAACTTTTGTGTCATAGAGTGACGACTTGAATGCATATTCGAGCTCCTTTAAAAAATATTAAAGTTAAAAACACAAATAATAAATTTAAATGAAGAATAAAATCAAAAAAATTAGATTACCATTTTCCATCATTTATTGCTGCTTCTGTTAAACGACATGCATCATTATCATGCATGACAGACTCACGTGTGTACAGACGTTTCGCAATTGTATTCAAGGATGGCAACGTACTTGGACTAACACCTACCACACTGCCGACAATAGAGGAAGATATATTGGAAGCAGAAGTTGTGGTCATTGGTGATAAGCTTTGCTCACTACTGTTTAACGAAGACCACGAATTGCCTATATTACCACTATAAGCAAAAGTACAAAACAAATATTAAGTTAGTTGTGGAACTCAACAATAAGGTACGATATTTCTTCTTACTAAACAATGCACATCACTTCATTGAAACATTTTTGAAGTCTTTGTATACAATACATTGTAAATTAAATATAATATTATAATATGAACTTAAGGCACGTCCATAAGACTATGAAACCTACATGCAAGTAAATATGCTACTTACTAGGAAACGAATTTTAAAATACGATTCGTTCGATTTCACACAAAAAAAAAGAAAGAAGAAGAAAAAGGGAAAAAACGTTTATAAAATTTCAGATCGATATCTGAAACACTGAAGGACGAGTCCGCGCCTGTATAGATATACAGAATAAATCTTGTTCATGGTATGATTACAACATTTTAAGGATTAAGAAAGTTCAAATGGTAAGATCCGTTAAAGCAAATACAAGGGAATTGCTCAACTTAATTTTTTTACTTTGAACAGCGACAATACTCTCTGAAAGCAAAGCCCATTTACAATTTCTTAACCTTAAATATCAGTTCAAAATGGTAATTCAAAGAGCATCGCCTCTTAATTGTTTCACCTGAGTGTGATGAGTGAAAAACAACAAGCTTTGTGTTTTTGCTTTCGGTTAACGTTCTGCGGTGGAATCTGATTTTAATAGCGATTTGTCATCGAATTACTTTGCCACTCTACAGTGTGTTAATATACAAGTACAGCCCATAAACTAATTTTATTACATAGTAAGCAAAATACATATTTTTTTAAAATTTCCAAATAATCTTTACGTAAAAAACTCACACTCATTTCACAGACGGTTTAGTGACAATGTAAACATAGGTACACAAAAAACACCTGAACAAAAATTTATTATAAACAAGTATATAACGTTTTACTTACATACATATTTTACGTTTCATAGGTATTGTATTTTACAAAACAGTACATAACTAAACAAAATAAAAATATATATTGCAAACACGCTTAGTATTCCGTATAAAAGCTCTCATTCCTAATAGTCTCGACTTTTTGTTAAAGTATGAATTTAAACCACAGTTGAAGGCAATTTCGATTAAGGGGTTAGGGGTAGTCAGAATTTTCAAAAAATAAATTTTTTGCATTTTCGTTAAGTGTAATATCTTAAAAATATTATCTGAAAATTTCGCGTTGATCCGATAATTATTTTTTGAGTTATTCGACAAATAACAAAGAGAGCTCGAGCACTTCAAAGCACTAGTGTGGATCTATAAACGCGTTTTTCTCAAAACTATGTTTTTTGAACTGGTGACAACTGTAACTCGAAAACCGCTCAGTAGGTTTTAATGAAATTTATACAGCTTTTAGAATACATAATAAACTCGGGCCTGATCGAAGGATATTTATTTTTTCAAATTTGGAAATTTGGTCTTTTTAAGACCAATTAACTGTTGATTTTTTCCCAAAAATTTAGAAAATGATTTCCTGAGGCCGCTTTTTGTTAATTTTTGAAAAAAAAAAATCCTTCGATCAGGCCGAGGATTATCTGTTTATAAAAAAAAAAAATTTTCTGTCCGATTGATTTGAGATGAATCTCCAAGGATTTATGGTCGTCACCGCAAGAACCATTTTCTGGAACTGGGTCAAACAACTAAAACTTTGGAAATAAATTTTTTTTTTTGAAATTTTCGTGACTTCAAGTCAGCACATTCTGTACTAATGCCATATTACTACTTTTGTAAAATATAACGATTTTATAGCAAAAACAAAAAAATACTGAAAATCCTCATTTGTTCCTGTCTCTGACTATCCCGAACCCTTAATTTATTCATTCCACTTAGCTTTGATCATATTTTTTACTCTCGCAACATGTAGCTACAAAGTATAACAGATTTGCTCACCTAACAGTTGTTTGTATCACCTAAAAATAATAGAGATAAATAAAGGGTTACATATATACATATATAAATGATCAGGATGACGAGACAGGTTTAAATCCGAATGACTGTCTATCCATAAGTTCGTCTGTCAAGCTGTAATATTTAGACCACCAGGAGATGGTTAGTGGTGCATGTGGACAGAATTGGATCATTGCCACGCCCACAAAATACCATTAACCGAAATCCTATAATGGGCTATAAATAAACTCTACAATAAGGTACAATATGTTATATAGTACAACGAATCGAATTCGAGAACGGCATTGGCGCTTTTAAAATATTTAAAAAGTAGACCTGGTCCCGTCTTCCAATAGGTTTAATGTGTATATCATCTAAACTATTAAAGCCAAATCAACAAAAGTAAATGTATTTATTATGCCCTCTGACAGTTTGAAAACTGATAAAATCGGGTATAACCCCGCGAACTCATCAAATCTCAATTTTGTTAAAAAGTACTAAAATTCCAATAAATCAATAAATGAATCAGCATTAAATTTTATAGCGTAAAAGGGGACTTTATATGGCCAAATCGGACTTTAACTATGTCATAACCAAGCATTAGTATTATTACATATCTCATGATCTAATCCCCCAATTTCACTCAAATTCGGCACATAACATTATACTGATATTCCCATATTATGAAAGGTTCGAAAACGGACTACAACTATTTGATTCTTGCACTTTCTAATATACGAGGTGTGTTCAAAAAGTATCGCGAATTTTGTGTTTTTTCAAAAATTATTTATTTATTCATGAATATCTAGCTGTACGAGATATACGACGACATTGACATAGTTCAGCGAATTAAAAGACAGCGGCTACGCTGGCTAGGTCATGTTGTCCGGATGGACGAAAACGCTCCAGCTCTGAAAGTATTCGACGCAGTACCCGCCGGGGGAAGCAGAGGAAGAGGAAGACCTCCACTCCGTTGGAAGGACCAAGTGGAGAAGGACCTGGCTTCACTTCGAATATCTAATTGGCGCCACGTAGCGAAAAGAAGAAACGACTGGCGCGCTGTTGTTAACTCGGCTATAATCGCGTAAGCGGTGTCTACGCCAATCAAGAAGAAGAAGTTGTAGCTTTAGAGAAGTCTTTACAATACTGATCTTCTAGAGTTTGAAATTTCCTTAATTGTGAATTAAGGTATTTATTTGTATTGTACTCAACTTGAGTTGATATGGTAGTAACTAGTTCACTTTGTGTTTCACTATGTAGCGTTTGAACTTTTTGTGCCTTTGGGCAACATGATGTAGCTTGAAAAATTTTAGAATTGTGGATTTCGGGATATGCTTTTGCTAAACGCGTGGTTCTTTTTGTATATGCGCTTCTTTGGGGTGAGATAGGATATCTGCTATAATGAAGCATTGAATTGTGTCCTTTATGACAATATAAGCGGTTAAATATGCTTTTGCAATTTTTAAGATTATGTGTATGGGACAAGCAGTTTGTACAGAGTATTTTTGATCTGACAAAGTTGTTCCTTTCGTTAATATTTAATCTTCTAAACTTTTCGCAAGTTTTAAGCTTATGCCCTCTTGTGCAAAGTTCGCATTACGTATGTTTTCTTTGTTCGGATGTGAACGCTTGTATTTTGTTAAAAATTCTATCTGATTTGCTTTTGCTTCTAGCTTGGGGTCTATTGAAGCTTTTATGTTGGGGGTGTTTAATGTTATTAGTTTAGATAATTTCATATTGGGTGGTGAGAAAATCTTTCATTTGTTGCCACGTTGGGCACTTTTTTCTTGATGAGAGCGATTGCTCCCATAGAAGTAACGACTTGTGCGGCGGTGCAAATGTTTACCAGAATTGGGTCCCAGCTGTCTGTGGGAATATTTTGTGTCGACAGAATCGACAAACAATTAAAAATAGTGGATTGTAGTCTTACAAATTCTTCACTTGTTCCCTTCTTGATTTTAGGCATGTTTAATAATGTCGTTACTTGCTTATCGACCAGTATTCTTTCGTTATCATATCTTGCTTTTAGAGCTTCCCAAGCCAAATTAAAATTATCGTCATTAAGAGCGAATTGTTTTACTATTATGCCTCCTTGACCTTTTGTTTTGTATCGGAGGTGATACAATTTTTGCGCTTGTGATAATAGAGGATGGTTTATGTACACGGCCGTGAACATGTCCAGGAAGGACGGCCATTCTTCATAACCTCCGTAAAAGGTTTTTGTGTCACAAGCGGGCAACTCGAGTTGGATGCCTGAACTTGCCTCTTGATATTGTTGCATTTGTGACAGCTCTACTCTCGGGTATGGAGTAGGTGCAATTGCTTTAATTAGCTTTAATTGATCGGAGATCAAAGCTTTCGTTTCTTCATATTGGTCCAAGCAATTTTCGTAAATATCGTAAGCCGATGATTTAGAATTTAGAAGTAGTCATGAGCCGCTTGGAGCCGTATCCAAAAATTATTGAGATTTTTAGTTTTGATTTCTAGTAACGATTAAGAGTTTTCTTGAATCGGTGAAGAGGCAAATCTGGAGCAGTATCTTGTTAAACTGTCACTTTCTGAAATAAAATTTGCAACCTGGTTTGAGCGTGTAGCTCCTGCAGGTGTACTACTTTGATTGTTATCAACTTTCATCATTTTTGATTTTTTTTTCTTACTATCGTATTTTATTTAAATGAAATGATGTTGAAAAATATTTTGGAGGATGGAGTCAATTGTTCACGTAAGTGAATAAAGTTTTCTGATCGCCATTCACTTGGGAGTGGCCAGAAACGATTCTTTTACATATGACTCAAGTAGCTCACGACTTCCGGTCCTTGACCAAGTATCCTCTGCGTAGCCTAAGAACATCCGTTTGAAGGCGAGCTAAAGTGAGAAGGCGAAACATTCCCTGCATAGGGTTGTGCGCTGGGTCTGGAACCCGCCACGTAAAAAAACCACCCCAATAACAACGCAACAACAACCTCGGATGAGAGACACCAGTTTTGATGACGACCATGGCAAACGAAATAATGACTACGAATTGAGGGCATGCACCTAGAATGTCCAGTCACTTAATTGGGAAGGTGCCGCTACCCAGCTGGTTTATGCCCTTGTAAAAATAAAGGCTGATATCCCCGCCGTCCAAGAAAT